GATTACAATGCAATTCATTCATGCTGCTTAAAATAAGTGACCCTAAAATTAAGAAAACACAGAGGCATGAATTCATAGTAGGCTGGAAATGCAGTTGGCCACACTGAGCAAAGGCCATTACAGTCAGAATGCATCCAAAATGATAAAAAGAGACATCTGGAGATGGCTCTTCTGTATGTTTGTATGCCCACAATTATATTGGAACTATGGTGGAGATGAAGCAGATGTCAGCCAAGGACAGGTTGGAGAGGAAGAAGTACATGGGGGTGTGGAGGTGGGAGTCAGAGCTGATAGCCAGGATGATGAGCAGGTTCCTGAGCACCCCAACCAGGTACATGTACAGGAACAAGCCAAAGAGGATGGGCTGCAGGTTTGGGTCCTCTGAGAGTGCCATGCGATGAAATTCTGATACAGATGTTAGGTTTTTAAGTTTAATTTTGCTTGGGCACCTTTTGAAAAAGAAAAGAGTATTGGACAAAGAAACTACATAAGCAGAGACACCAAGTAATCAAACAATAATACAAAATCCTTTAGCTTATAGTATTTAAAACAGTAGATAAGGGATAGGATGGCATTATCTCACCACTCAGCTAAAGCTGATAGTTCATATCAGAAAGCAGTCATGTAGCCAACAACCATGAACACAGCATTTGTGGGCACTGCATCTATCAATGACGACAATGTACCAATATGCTAAGAAGCACTTTCAAAACTTTTATTTTATGCAGGTTGATTTGTATCAACCCCACACAATTACAGTAACATGTCTGGCAAAGAAAGTCAGTTCCTTTATTTCCCCTCCCCTGCTGTGGCCTGGGAATATTAATTCATTTCCTTTCCTGTAATCTCTCATAGATACCTTTGAAGACTATAACATCAGGGAAGAACCTGAAATTCAAGTTTGATTCCAGCCCTTTTAAAAATGTCATTTAATAGATTTTCACATCAATATTTTCTGGTACCTGGAATTTAATACCTGGATTCCAATTCTCTTAACTGAGCTACTTGAATATAATTCAGTGTTTTTATGTTTTCAAATCATACTGATTTAACTTGGAAAATAAATGAAAAAGAAAAAAATTCTTGAAATAACATAAGCATACCTGGGCCATCAATTCCTCATCTGTAGAATGATAAAATAATTACTTTTCTAATAAGTGCTATTGTAAAAATACTTAAGGTGTTTTTAAATACCAAATACTAGTGGTCCTCAGTCTGATTTGTGATACAACTGGCCTGT